CCGCTCAGATTTGCCTGTGTGACAGTGGTAACGATTTGGTGCGCCTGGCTTTGGTTGCCCTTCGGCTTGTCTGTGGGAGATGTCTTCAAGGGTAGGGATGTCAGTTGGTTAAGTTCTGCATGGGTGAGAGAATGGGGCGAAATGAGGACCAGCCTCGGTTTTGGAGCCTCGTCCAGAAGTTCAGTATCCTGAGGATGGCGGAAGAGTAGGAAAGGAAGAATAAAGATTTAAATGAGGCAAAATGTTGCATGCGTACATTCAGTGACCGATCGCATGAGAGACTAACGAACAATCAGATATGCGTCTTAGGATAGCAAGGATTAGTTAAGTGGGAATGTAATATCTTTTTTTAAATCAGGGAACATAATCCCAAGTTATTTCTGGTATGCCGGCCTTCGAATACACCCCCTTCTGGATGCCTGCAAAAACCACAATCAGTAAAAGGTGACTACATAAGTAGTACGTTTTAAAGCATAGACACTGAGAACAGAAAAATTCCGACGGCCAAACTTAAACGCGACCAAAAAATACAGGTGGAGTGCAACATGAGACAGATGTGTGAACATTTTAATTACCCTCTCGTTTAAGACTGCTTCGATTAGCCTACTGAAAACGACATCTCAGTAGTGTGTGGCTTCACAATCCGCGATAATACACGACAAATCTGTCGGGAAAAAAGTATGTGTTCAGAAAAAAGTCTGAGGCAGGTAATTAGGGATCACGGTCTACGACCCCGCCTGCTCCAGGACTTTCCAAACGACTCCTCTTGGCTAGGAATAAGACCATTCTGTACAAAGGTAGAAGTAGAAACGAGAACATTAGCAAAGGAAGTCATATACAAGTCAAGAGTTTGCAATGGATGCAAGGGAGGTTGTATACTTCATAATCACCATTAGTAAACGGACTGATACTATGTATTAAATATTTTACGCTGCTAAAAATCTCATGCTTATGAACTCTGTCTGAAGGAAAGGATAGATTTTTGTCAAGCATAAAATGCAAAGAATATTTAAATTGGTCACCAAATGAACGCTAGAAACAATATTTTTGTGCATATTTTTGATCAAAACATATTCGAATCTATGAGGGCATCGAAAAAGAGTGTGAAAAAAACGTAGACTGCTTAGGTAGTCATTTTTACGAATGCGGTTTTTGCAGAGCATTTGCAAGAAACTAACGCGAAATCTGGCATCAGGTGGTGACACTAGAATTAACAGGTCACCATCGCCTGTTTCACTGACTTCAAGACCGCCTTTGATTCCATCGACAGAGAAGCTTTATGGCAAATCTTGCTTGCTGACGATCTCCCACTAAAGTTGTTCAATCTGAGCAAAGCCTACTATAGCACAACATCAGCCCGAGTAAGAACCCTTGGTGAAGAGTAAGATTCTTTCTCCCTGACTTGTAGAGTTCGATAAGGATACCCTCTTTCCCCAGTCCTCCGCAATTTCTTGATCGACTGGGTGATGCATCAATCAATTCTACCTGACGGTGGATGTGAAATCAGCCCTGAATTCAGAGTACCTGACCTGGAATATGCCGA